AATAAACAAAGGCTTCGAGAGGTTTTGAAGATGGTAGAATTATAAAGGAGATTTTGCTCTATCGTTGTGTGGATATTAATGATGTACATAAAGGATGAAAGGATAAAGCTCTCGGCGTTGATCAATCCCTTAGGGATGCGCCATGCATTCGACTTCATTAAGTATCGTTGGAGGTGATTTGAATGCTCACCTAGCCTTTACAATGACTCGCGGTGGCCTACCGATGTATCTAGCCAGTGTTGCTATCTTCCCAGACAAGTCTGGTAGCAATTTTCCGACCCCGGAGGGATGGAGGGCTTGGTGGGCCATTGGCGCGGGGATCGATTCCATGTGTGTGTCGCAGTAGCGCCTCCAACCAATGCGCGATATGCGCAACACGCCCCCTTAATGGTGTACATACTACTACTTATTGTGTGCTGTTATGACTCATAGTGCAAAGGAGTCGCGTCTACATTTGGAGATATTTTTCAGCTGAGTCGATTCCAGTATTTTTTATGCCCACACACTCCATATAACGAAAATGGCCCATACCGGGTTAAAATGAAATAACAGTTAAGTGTTAGTCAAATTACTCGACAATGGACTTTTTCTCAAAAAAGCGTGAAATCACCAAGCATAGAGAATTGCTTTTCTGGTGCCATCTCCACTGTTCCGATCTGCTTTCGATTAGCTATGAGCATACATACTTTGGAAAAAAACTCTGAAACCCGATAAACTGAATACGGACACTGTAGTTACGAAACCTTCCCAACAGTCTACTGCCTCACCGTGGCTGGGAGGTGTTCCTGGTGATCCACCACCATCCTAGTATCAAACTAGTAATATGGTGGCAGATCTCGCTCTGATTCACAAAGATGATTTCACTGCCTGTGGTGGTGACGACCTGGGGCAGACTTTGTGTAACCTGACCTCGGAACTCCAAGGAACCACAATGACTAAGCCAGCAAAACTCTGAGAAAAAGCAAATTACACTGGAGCTCGCACAACCACTGAGGACCTGCCATCCAAGTATTTAAGTAAGTTTAGTGTCCATACGATCGTTCGGTCCTGTTGACTACGGAGAGTGTATAGTGTCTGGACAAGACAGAAGGGGTTAACAAATTCTGTTTCCGTGCAACAGCGAGTCAAAAGCGTTCTCAGATGCAAGTAAATCACTATCCTCTTATTGATTGGTTCGGATAAGATTTCGATATCGCGCGTCTGGTAGTGCTGTAGACAAAGTAGCAGAAAGTCGATGAATTTCAACAACGTATAAGAAGAGTTGTATAACGACTGGTTTTCTGTTAGTTAGAGTGATATTTTTATTCCTGAAGTCTCAGGATTGCTTCCTCATTCGTCGATCACGCTTATGGGTAGGACCTTTCGTGTTTCGCGGCTAATAGGCTTCCTTCACAGTGGTAACAAATCCTAGTGTAGGGTCATTCCTCATCTACTCTAACGAGTATCCCCAGCAACATGTTCAGAGGAGATTACTGAGACGAATTCAATGGCCCTTCTATGGAACGCGGAGATTGTTGCCAGTCTATTTTTTTCTCAATACCTTCGATTTTTCTGCAGTTAATTAGAAATCGTGGAGCTCTCGGCGTTGATCAATTCCTGAGAGATGCATAATGCATTCGACCTCATTAAGTATCGTTGGAGCTGATTGAATGCACACAATGCGTACATAATGACACGCGGTAGCCTACCGATGTATTGAATCAGTACTGCTATCTTCCCAAAGAGGTCTGGTACCAATTTGCCGACCTAGGAAGTATGGATGGCTTGGTGAGCCGGGGCGTGGGATCGATCCCATGTTTATTGTAGAGCATCTCTAACCACTGCGCTACACGTGTCCAGTTGTTAATTATTTCGGAAATATTAACCTGTTTTTTATTTACTGCCTATTCTTTTTAGCGGCAGGGTATGTTGCGATTTTGGCTCCCCAGATCAATCCCGTTGACCGGTGATTGCTGATGGAAAAAGATCGATAGAACAAGCTGAGAAACAGGCGAAACGAAGGACCTGCATGGTGTGGTGGTGAACGCATTACACGCCGGAAAGGACAATAGCGCGTTCGTTCCCCACCGCATACACCTGCGGTCCGGAGTTTTGCAAGTATCTCAGCATTGTAAGTTATATTTCGGAAATATTCCTAAGACCATGATTGTGCTATGAGTTACTCTTGTTTTCGAATATCTTCTTTTTTAAATAGGCAACCATTCGAACTGCGAATGCTTTCAAATTCCCATTTCTAAAATATAAGATTCTTTTAAAACCATTTTCTACGTAGAACATAACAGCGAGTGCTGGCTAGATCATAGTAAAGTGGTTATAGGGTGCGGTGCAACATGGGTTCGCTGTTTCGAGCCCAAAACTCTTGTAGACCACGCCTTTCTAGGTCGAGAAATTTATGGCAGCGTTGTACCGGAGGGCAAAAACTAGGACCTCATACATTGGCAAAAATCGCATGTTAGTCTATGGGCTAGCCACGGTACTCGATCACGTTTACTGTGTTATGAATGAGGTCGAATACACAGTGTATCTCTATATAATATCAAGCGTCGAACCCTTAATCCTTGCATCCCTTTATGCTAACTAGTGTGGACTTTTTAATATCTATAGATGTTTTCGACATTCACACTGTGCTTGTTCAATTTCCCAAGCTGATATACTTGTAGTGGAGTTCAGTCTCTTTCGGAGTAGTGTCATCACATGAAAACGACCAGCGATCGACGACAGTTCAGAACCTGACTATGACTCAGAATTCCATTTTTGTCTAAACATTGTAAATAAGACAATCGTTGGTCAGTGAACCTGTTTCTATTGTTGGCATTCGTACACGTTGTAACAATTAGCGTCTCATGATACCACCATCTACTTAAAAGCTCATCAGAATCCATTTTCCGGTGTTGTACTATTTTATTCTGTTCTATTCTATTCAGTTTTAATATCAGTCAGTTTTTACCGCTATCGATCAGTCAGTCAGGTTTCTTTTACAAAAAGTAGCCTTGTGATACTTTCTGGAACATTTTAATTCGTTTTCTGAGGTATATAGGAAAAATTTGGCCCGTCTTCGAGTTAATAATTGTGAAGCAAACAAAACTAGGAGACAAGTGGTCATTTGGTGTTTTTCATGAGCGTGAGAATTATTCCTTTGAATAGAAAAACCGTAATCCACATTGTTCTATATTGAAAAGTAAAGATGGCGAAGCTATTAATTAATGAGTTTATTTGGGCTATATAGATAATAATATCAATTTCCTACCACGTTCTAAACCACACTACATCACACATTGTGCCGATCTGACCACTTTTTTCATTCAGTTCATTGCCCCGCGTGTATCCACGTCTTCTAAGAACGTCTTTGAATTTGCGCACGGTTTCGGCTATTGCGTGAGAATTTTCTCTTCCTTATGAATGTCATCGAATGATGGTAGAGGGTGTTCTCTCTGAAATGCTAAGATAACCGTGACGCCTCTTCACCACAGGCAGTCACCACCTTTTGTCTATCGGAGCGACTTATTCCCAGCTAAATTTGGTACCGGCTTTCGACTCCGGAGGGATGGAGGGTTTCGTCGGGTTCAACGGATTCGAACCAGAAGCCTGGAGATGGAGCTGCATTTTTGCAGCGCTTTAGCTGACTTCTAATAATAATATTGGTTCAAAATTCTAATAACACTAGAAGTTTCGCCCGGAATTTAGCAAGCTATGAAGATTAAAAATTCAGGATGTTTTTTGACATGTTGATAAACAGAGCGGCTACATTTTTTCAGTGGAGTTGCCAGTGCTTATAAAATCAGCTTATCAATCACAGCTGCTACGGTATTAATTTCGTCCATTTGTACTCCTTTCTGCTGTTAACAGGTAGGAAAAAACTACTAAGGTAAAATGTAGAAAAAAGAGTAAAGAAAAGTGGTCTGTGTAGAATAGGATATACTATTTGAAAAACTTGAATAATACGCGTAACATCACTGGTTCGACGCCGCACCGAGCTAATCAGGCCCCACCTCCCGACGAGCTCAGCGTATTGGTATCAGACTTGGCTGGAAGGATAGCAACACTGGGTTGACATATCGGCAAGCCCACCGTAAATTATTTTTGACGCATAACTCAGAGACTGATCGGCATCGACCACCTTGTCCATAGTTACAATTTGTATTGATCAGGTCATTTTGGAGTAGATCATAGTCGTAATCGATACTTTTGTGCTAGTTGGCCAGTGGATTAGGGAGTTGGTCGGATTTGTCTTTTCCCCGCCAGCTGTACGTGGAATGCTCGACTTTATATGAGTTTGCCACGCGAGACTTTTTCCGTAACTGCCGTGAACAACCTCGAGTTTGGGTTATAGCAGTTTATAGCAACAACAACAATACAATAATAATATGTGATATTTGACGATAAGTAAGCTGGATGGATACGATCGAGATTGAAATGAGAACAAGTGATACGCTTGAAGGAAGCTAGACGGGCACTGGGAGCACTGAAGAACTGAGGGATTGGAAGATAAGCACTGGAAGATTGGAGGACAGGCACTGGTGGATTGGAGGACAGGCACTGGTGGATTGGAGGACAGGCACTGGCGGATATATTCTGTCTGTAATGGGTGGGGTTTCTACAGAGGGAGTCAGAGATAGTGTTGATTCAGGACATGGCACGGTAGATGCGGAGCAGTACATCAAACGATGCGGTATGCCAGAAGCTTCGTCAGCATAGAACTTAATCAGATAGCGAAGGAATAGCTCGTAGAGAAAGGTTATCTGAAAGGCTACGCAAAGACATCAAAATGTCATGTGAAAGTGCTGAAATAGCTTGTACAAAGGCTTCTACCGAAAGTACATGTCGAAACGGTCTAAGGACTTATACATTATGAATGGATAGATTTAAGATAGTTATGAGTAAATAGTTAGTATAGGAAACATGTGATATTATAGAGAATAGGAACTATTTAAGGAATAGTTACCATAACTTTTGCAAATTTTTCAGTACTGCTTCCTTCTACAATCGTCATTGTTTTACAGATGTATCATCTCATTTGCTGTCTCATCATCGTAATATCGTGTTCGTCGATGGCGCTGGCGCTGTTCACCCAATCAGCTGGCGTGAAAGGCGTTCTAATGTGCGGCGACAGGCCACTATCCAACACTAAAGTAAAACTTTACGATGATGACTCTGGTGAGTTCTTGAAAGATGATGAGTTACATTCCAAGAAAGATTTTTAAATATAGAAACAGGCAAAGATTTAGTTCTTACACAGCACCCAACAAGTTGTTATTGATATGTTGGCTTCTGCGATCACTTGGTTCATTTCGTTTGATGAATGACATTCATGAGTTTACACAGCGGCTCGGCATATACTAGGGTTTTTGAAAGAAAAAATTCACCTTTACTATTTTATGACAACAGACATTCCGACTATAACAACGTCCTATAAGTTATGGGCTTTACTCCTGTATTAATTAAGAGCATACGTTGACGCCACGCTGTCATACCCTCAATCCCATTTTTTATATTTTTTTGCGGTATAATCCCTATAGAATTCGGACGTGGCTCCATTTCGTGGGCTACTAGATGGACTATTCTAAAGCATTATTTTGTAGAAATATATAAGTATACGTTTCCAATGATGCTGAGATATCTACAAAACTCCGAACCGCAAGTGTTTGCGGTGGAGAACGAACGCGCTATTACCATATCCGGAGGCTAACGCGTTCACTACCACACCATGCGGGTCCTTCGTTTCGCCTATACGCATTCAGCTTTCTTTAGCAAAGCAACAAGTTCCCACTTCTTCGCGGCTAAAAGGTGTTCGGGGTAAACAGCTATGTACTGCAAAGTTCATCCACTCCGCAAGCTCAGCCATATTGGGGTGTTCAAATATTTCACTCTGCTACACAGCTATGAGTAAAGCTGTCTTGAATGGCATATCCTGGAAAGGATTTCACCACTATTCATACTGGTGGCGTGTACCACACATCAGACAGTTTACGAAAACCCATTTACAGCCTTTTTTCAGATAAGGACTATGTGTTCTGTTTAGGACCGGATCTTGACGACCTCATGGCGGAGGGTACTACAGATTCGATGGGACAATTCCTACTCTACGGCCATACATCGGAAATCATGACAATCGATCCGAAATTGAATATCTATCACGACTGTGATGACTCACTTAAGGTAAAATTTTTTCAAACTAGAAAGTATAAAAAATTGTTGGTAATCGATAAACGAAGGAGAATACCAGTAATTCGAAACGTTGAAAAAAAAACTGTTTTGATGGTGATGAAACTCTGCAGGACATTTCCAGCTTTTTCACTGAAAATATTCAATGGGAGCTAATGGGTTAGAAGTGCTCTATAAAACACATGGGTTCCTTAGGAACTTCTTACGCCTACGGCTCACCAAGCCATCCATCTCCCGAAGTAGCTAGGTCAGTGGCCAAATATGCAACCAATAACCTCTACGACTCTTCAAATGGAGGTGAATGCATGGAACAACCTTCAAAGACTGGCCAAGGCCAGGCGCTTTATCATTATCCTTAAATAGTCAATATGAGCACCTAATCTTGGTCGTGACTTTATTTGAGTGGATGACTAGAAACGTGTAGATAAAGTACCGGAGTTGCGAAGGAGGCACTACGAAGGTAATCACAACGATCCTGAGACATTTGCAAGACTCCGGACCGCAGGTATCTGCGGTGAGAAACAATCCCGCCATTACCTTTTCCAGGGGCTAATATGTTCATCACCACACCATGCAAAACCTTCGTTTTGCCTTTTACTCAGCCGTGTTATTGACCTATAGGTGTCATCAGCAATCATTCACTAACAGGATTGATCTGGGGCATACAAATCGGCGTTGAATCCAGTTAAGTAGAAACCTTCGGAAACGGATAACAGGTTCGATTCCCACCACAGACACCCACGGTCCGGAGTTTTACAAATATCTCAGCATCATTTTGGTTATATTTCACATCATATCCTGTCATAAAAAAAAGAATAGGCAGTGAATAAAAAGTGAATACAAAGATAATTCGATGGCTCATGATATGTGAACACACGGGTGAGTTTGCTCCATCTAAGGAGTTAAACGGCTGACTTTCCCTAATAGGTAGATTTCGGGAATGTTTCTTGAATTAGGTTTCCACTGAAATTAGGAAATATCAACCTAATAATAAAATATGGTATGGGACATCTAGGTTCTAAGGAAGGCGAAGTCTGCGAAACGTCAGCCGTAGTATTTGGAAAAAGAACGAGTACTAACTTTGCGTTACTTAAAAAAGAACAGTTTATAAGTACGAAGATATCTGAACAACAAGGAATGAGCTATTTAATGTGAGAAATATTCCCCGCACCATTTCCAACTTGCACTCTAAAAGGGGCGCTTCTCAAAGTTGCTGAAAGATTTTTAGCACGGCTGTTTCAATTTTCTCCCTTTCATCCTTGTCACTTGCCACAGTCCTCTCCAGTGCGTCATTAATTTAAGAAGTATGGAGCCGTCACACTTCTATTTCAGAGTATTTGTGTATAAATCTTCCTTGTCCATGGATGGGTCCAGTTTCGTTTGGAATTTGGGATCGACTCTATCATCGTCATCACTCACTACTTATTCTTTAGTAGCAGGACGTGTCTATCTGGTCTTTGACTTTATCTAGTGACGTCCTTGATGATGTTTGATCGGTAGCTAGTTCCGGGCCACTTCGGTGAGTAGTTTGAAGCGATCAACAACAAGCGTCTATGGCGACGGTCAGCTGAACGCTCTTCGTCTTCTTAAACGTCCTTAGAAGATAGCTGGTCATCTTCATCACTGCCATATAATCATGCGTAATCTTAACCTTTTGCAGCATAACGCAAGCAATATAAGATGGCTACCGATGTGAACCTAACTGAGAAACATAACAAGCTTGGATAATCAAGCAAACGACCTTCAAAATAAGTTCATTATTGTACATTTTGCGCTTAGTTTTTTCTTCTCGAGATCTTCACTAATGGAGATGCTCTGTATTAGTGTTTTGCGGCACCATTTCCTGGCTTCTCCTCCAAGTACGAATGTAGATGGTTAACCTACCAGTAAATCCGGCACTTTCTAGGAACGAATGAGGATTCATGCCATTTTGGGTTACTCTATAACTAAATCGTTACCCAGTGGACTATTCTTACTCGGAAGACATAAAGAGCATCGCGTTTTTAGTATGAAGCTTTTTGTTTCTATCGTTCTAGGCGAAGAGATGGCCACATCCATCACTGAGCTCTGCAATGGTTTAGATTTACTCCAAGCTCTGCTATCGGTCGATGGTTCGACCCCGCGTCCCGGATCAAGTTTTCCATTCCTTCAGGGTCGGTAAATTGGTACTAGACTTGTCTGGGAGGATAGCAGTACTGGCGTGACCCATTGCTAGGCCACCGTAAGCAGACCATGCCTGAAGAAGTCGAGGCCGTCCGTGGTTTATCAATCCCGAGACGTTCACTCTTCATCGCTTATCACTACATATATGTATCTTTGTATATATGCGAACTCAATTTTAAAAAATACTATTCAAGGAAGAAAGTATATCAATGAATAGCTTGCAGCCATGTCAGCGCAAAGTCACCTTTCACATACCGAAATCTTTCGTCTCTTCCGGCGAACATCCGAAGACGTTCTTCAACATTGGTCGAATTAACATGCAAATACAATTCGAATCGGAAGAAAGAGATTGTCTGCATAGGTGAATTAAGAAAAAGGGATAAAAAAAACTTTGCAAAAGAGCCAGTGTGAAGTCTAGTACGTTTCACAAAAAGAACGTTGTTTTTTATACCAAATGTTCAAAATTAACTTGTCTGTATTTATTATTTAGAGTGTGACTTCCCTATATTAAATGCTTCGAAGATTGGAATGTTGAGTTGTAATTGTTTAAATCATGTTCTGATATATAGCGTTGTTAATAACATGATTTATATTGTCAATTAACAGAAAGATGTAAGCTCAAAGGCGGATGTTTAAAAAATACCTGGAGCGATCAATATGGATGAAAAAAGGTGTAAAATGAATAAAGTTTGAAGTTACGATCAATGAATTTGGCCATTGTGCTTCACAGTTGCGAAAAATTGATTTATAGATTAAAGGTACCCGTTGCAGAACTCGTCGCCAAATGCATAGTAAAGCCAAGCATGATACTTTCGCCTATTGGAGTATAATCGTTTTTGAACGTAAGGGGCTATTCGAATATTTGGTGTACAGCGATCGTCATGAAGAAATGTAGCAAAGTTGCTACTAGGAAGACTCTGGTGGCGGTAATAAAGACCTTCTTGTGTTGCAGTTGTGCCGAAGAACAAACTTGGGTAATTAGACACTTGTGTAGACAATGCAACAGGAGCAATATTTCAAGAGAATGGCAGCTATTATGTGTCAGTTGAAGTCGATTGGGTTCTCGGTGGACAAATGAGTAATTGGTTGAGTAGAACTTCTAAAATTTACTCTCATCGTTAGTAGATTCTTTACACTAATAGGCTAATAGACTCACTTTACTGATTTATCGCACGAAAATGAATCGGAGAAAGGGGATATGGTTCTTTAAAAACAGCTGACACATTGCGTGCTGCGGAAATAAATGTGAGAAATTACATTAAATGAAATGGGACACCAGAAGCCTTGAATGTAAGAAAAGACTACGATAGGATATTTTTCGATATCGACAACTTTCACCGAGTTTCTTTCAACAAGCAAACATTTTATTGTGATCCGTTTCGGCACCATGGTCTTGTTCAGATCTGCAACGGATCGATTCGACTATCAACACATTTGTTTTTTAGGAAATAAGCAGCAAATGAAATATGACAATATTACAGTGCTCTTTTACGCAGAAGATTCCTCGAATGACTGTCCAATCAAGGCTATTCTTTTCACGAAGACGATGAACTCTGCAGAAGTCGGGATTTTACCAATTAGCACATAGCATAAACGTCATATCTATTCGGTTAACTTTTCGACGACTTCGTCTTCATCTGAGCCGAGGACCCGAGTAGGTGGTCCACACAGTCGTTTGTCCTCTCCATGTAGTATCTTCGTCGTCGTTTCGTGTCGGATTTTCCTCAGTAGAGCTCTGTTCCAATGAGACAACCTCATCTGGCAGCTCTCTTTTATACAGGACGGCTGTTGTTGATAATGATCGTCCGTTGATGACAATTTGTTTTCAAAGGTCAATTCATTCTACAGCAGTCGCTACAATGTTAGCTCGTGACTGTCAATGCCGAGGCTAAACGACGATATGTTTGAAAAGTTGTGATAAAATAGCTTATACAAAGCAAGGCCAATAGAAGTAACGTGTAAGCGCAAGCTCATAAATTTCGTTCAGAAATTTATTCTAAACAACTCATATTTTATGGAGAATTCTTAAAAAACTGGTCATCACTTAACCTTGGAATGGATAACCAGTAATTTTGTAGATTATTAGACTAGAAGGAGTTTAGTCTAGAACCTTTACCTAGGTAACGATTCTACGCCTTTGTCCTTTTCAGTAACGGGATGACCCGAGTCGATTGTCAACAACAAGTTCGTCTCTAGGATATGGGCATTCTTAATCGTATTGAGCCGAAATTTCTGCAACTCATCACTCCTCTCTGCTCATTAAGAAAATCTCGTTCAAGTGGTGCTCCATTGCACATGATGCGACTTGATGCGACTACGAAGACTAGTTCCTCCCAATGGTTTACCGCCTCATCGCGGCTGGGAAGTGTTCCTGGGTGTTCGGCTGCGATACACCATCGGGGATATTCATCCTTCCAGTAGGGCCTCCCAGATTGAGAATGAGTTTGGCATTTGTATCAGGAAGTTCAGCTAAGAGCAAACAAATACCAGGATCCACCATCGTCCTGGCATCGAATCAAACTAGTTGCATGATGGCAAATCTCTCTCTGATCCACACACAAAGGCGGTGACTGCCCGAGGTGGTGATGACCTAGGGTAGACTATGGGTAGGCTGGCCTTGACGATTCCAGGGAACCACATCAGCTAAACCAGCAAAACTCCAAAAAATGGAAATTATTCTGGGGCCTGCATAGCCAGTGAGGATGGGCTATCCAAGTATCCAAGTATGAAAACCAATTCGCTAATTAATTTAATTAGTCAAGACGAATGGCTGTGGGTAATCGACTCGGATCATCCAGACTCTGAAGAAAGTATTGGCACCGGAACGCGTATAAGAATAAAAGTTTTATAATGGCCTCGTATTAGCTAAAAAGCTAAAGAAGCATTCATTTGTGGAAAATGCTCTCTATAGCGATTTCTGTATAAAATGGCAGTCCAAATAACAGCGTTACAGCGCGAATTGGCCCAGTTCCACTCGTTCACTCACTTCGTCATCTACAGCGTAACAAAAATAAAATTTCTCAAATAATCTGTAGAAATGATTTTTTCTCACTTCATCTATCTTCGCGCCTATTGTGCGAATTCCAGCACTTCTCACATCCAATTTGTTTCCTCGCATCGATCGTCAACGAAGGTCTTGCAAGTTTTAAGTGTGGCTTCAGTTGCTGCTTGAGAAATTTCATTTCATCTTGGATATCGTAGAATGCCGGTCTGCCTGGAGAACTGAGATAGCTGGACTGGAGCGTTCCCACTTGGGTTGCAGAGAGTCATTTTTTCCCAGAGAAGTCCGGCACCAGTTTCCCGACTCCGGATGCATGAGAGTCTTGGTTGGCCTGGAGCGGAATCGAGCGAGCACCATGCTCGTGATGACGGACATCATTACCACTGTACTGTCCGCCACATAGAAATCGCTTCCAGCATAAATTATAAAAACACGGTTATGATTTAAGAAAAAGAACAAATAACATAACTTGAAAATAAGCAAAGAAAACCTTGCCGTGTATTTAAGCCATTTAAAAAAAAAAAAGTTGAAAAGATAGGAAACGTCTCTACAGTAATCTTCAAAAACTTGCCCCATCTTCAACCTTTCTCTCGTATGAACTTGCTGCACTCAGCTACTGGTTTTACTACTGTTTGCTGTTCGATAGGGTTTCGTGTTGTTCCTCTCTATTAAAAAGTGAATAAGACTGGTTGCTATTGTGCAGACAACATTTCTTGTTACAGAAATTGTAAATTTTTTGCAAAAAATGATATCATAGAAGTAGCTGTTGAATACAAGGCAGAAAGATACTTAGGTAACTGCGTGACCAGTCTCTACTGGTAGTGCCTACCTTAGCATATTTTTCATTCGTTTCTTTGCATAACGGTCGTCGTTTGTGATGGTGGTCTGCTTCGAACACGGTAGCGCGTGTGAGTATCATACCGCTATCAGTAAAGGGCTTGAAGCTGCGAACACAGTTTGGTTACAAACCCGTACACCCGCACAGGTGTTTCCCTGGGAGTACGCTTGTACATTTTTTTTGAGACCACCCTGCAGTTCTCTTCGTTCGTCTCTCACCTGTTCGTCTTATTATATGGTCAACCATTTTATTGCTCGCTACACATGTATATTACCGGCACGGATTCCGAAGGTGGGATAGGTTTCGAAGATCTGTACTTCGCATTTTTGCTAGACGTTACGTGAGTGGGCCATATTTTGAGGAGTTCAGAGTCCGTTACCGGTCAAATACTTTCAGTGGACCCAATGTGGCCCATGCTGCTCTCGTTCCTTTATATAAGCCCTCTTCCTTGTTGTTTTTCCCGTTCACTGAACGCCCAAAAAACACGTACCACTTGATCTCTGTAGTAAAAGAGTCACCTGGTTTCAACTTTTCAACACAGGCTTCCTGTAAATTAGTTTCTTCTGAATTTTGAGCTAACTGAGCTTCCTCGCTGTGTCACTGGTAGTTTTCAAAAATATGACGCTGTCATCGTCAAACTTAAGATTTGGTCAGGGTTTGCCATCAATAAGTATGTCCTTGTTGTCCTAATCCATTCACTTAATCTTCCACTGCAATAGCTTTGGCAGATATTGCTGCCTTGTCGAATTTCCTTTCCTATCTAGATGGTAAGGGATCGATGGAAGGCCTGCACCTTTGTGCTATAGGTCCGATGACAATCAGCTACAGTTCTCGTGTTGGACGAGTCCACTCCGTGACTGCGCACCACTGCGATAAGCGCTAATAGGAGGATTAAATTCGTTTCGTCACCGTCAAAGACTTTTTGTTGTCCACAAAAAAATTAAGGCAAAGAGGAAATGTCGTTCTCGACATGTTTCTAAGAGCCCTAAAATTGCTTGGACGGGTTTTACACAGCAGAATACCCGTTGGAATCCTTCCTGATCAAGTAGTTAAGACATAATTTGTGGAACCAAAATGATGGACATGAAATCCTACTATGAAAGGTGGGTTTTGTTAGGCCGAATACAAAACCATGCCAAAGTTCACCTCTACAGCCTACTAAAATCAATGACTTAGCATCTTATCGTACTACTGTGATCAACATCTGCTTCACAAGCGTCGATTTACAGTGTTGTGGTGCAGCAGATACCTCTGTGTTCTATCACAAACGACATCTGGCCCTATATTGAGTTCACCCGGCAACAGCCTCTTCGCCGAACGAAGAAACTCCTATAAAAAACATACCAAGGCCGAAGTCCATTACAACATCTTTGTTCAATAAGTTGGCAAATGAATGCAAGAAATGCAGGGAAAAATTCTGTTTTCCAAAATAACCACCGAAAAAATCACCTTTATAGTGGTCTTTGTGGTAAGGATAAAGTGTTCGGTATTGATCAATCTCTGGAGGATGCGCCATGCACTCGACTTTATTAAGCATCGCTTGGAGGTGACCGAATGCATATCTGACGTTTACAATGACTTGCGGTGGCCTACCGATCTCTCAAGTCAGTGCCGCTATTCTTCCAGGGAAGTGTGCTACCAAGTCGTGGACCACGGAGTGATGGAAGGCTTGATGGGGAAGGCGTGGGGAAATGAACTAGTGATCGATCAGGTGTGCATGCCATAGCACCTCCAGTCGCTGCACTACGTTTTTCCTATAGAATTTATATCGGCCATAACAACTATCGACATCTGGTTCTGTATCAGGTTATCTAGTCGCATGTTAGTAAACTAGCGAAAGCCATACGCGAGATCTTCAAAGAAGTGTCTCCCGCTGTTCTTCGCTTTGCTAGTATTCCTGTGATCCTCTATTCTGTGCCTCTACACATTAACCATCTTAAAATTTCTATTTTCCTAAAGCAATAAATCAAGATTGTTGAAGGTGTGCTTTAAATCTACTCTCTTGAAACCACTACGGTAACAAGATTGGATGAAGGGCAAAATTATTATATCACAATAAATCAGCTCAAAGAACTCACGACTGTAGTGACTAAAGAATGAAACGTTACCAACTGTTGTCGGTTCGATCAATGCCAACGCCATTTGTTAACTTGAGAGCTCGGTTCTCTCTTACTGGCCGGCCGGACATAGCCGCTCGTTTGTGGACAGCTCGGCATCGTGAGCACTAAGATTACCTTTTGTCTACTACACCTTAAATCGTAAATTAACTTATTACGCTATTTTCAGCATTTCATGATCGTTACTACGCATTTTATTCTCCCTCCTTCTTTCTCTCTCTCTCTCTCTCTCTCTCTCTCTCTCTATATATATATATATATATATATATATATATGTACGTGTACATAAATATGTATATACATGTATATGTATATGTATTTGCAAAATAACCCCTTCATCCTTATGAATATCCTTTGAGCTTTACTCAATAATGTTCAGTAGTTAGGAAAAGACTACATAGAGTTCTTTATAAAACACGAAAGTTGTCTGCCTATCGACTTCACGCTTGACCCCGTTTCACTAGTGGTATATCAAACCTTTTTCTCATCGCTTGAAAGACTTGCGTGAAATTTACGATGCCATTTTACTTTCACCTTCCTTTTCTTTCTAGCGATTTGTTATTCCCTTCGTTTTATTCATCTGCCCCCTGTTTGTTGAAGCAATCCGGAATGTTTCATCTCCCAGTGAATTCTCCCACTCCCATTCCGTGCCTGATTTCAGCAACGAAATTTTTTATCTTGTCTAGAAGTGTAGGGCATACAAAGTCATAGATGATTTGTGGTAATCCTCATTCTGTTTTTCACGTCAGCTTCACCTTCTTGGCGCTGATAATTTCAGAATGTTGACTGCATTCGTTTTTCTCCTCGTCTACAGCGAGGCGGCATTGTCGTTCATGCACATTCGTGATCCGAACTCATGGACGCAACTTCATCAACTGGAGGAGGCGAACAACGTTCGTAGACGTTCAGCCTATAAGTGGACAGAAGAATGGCTTGATAACGTACCTGTCGACCACTTCTCATTTGCTAATAAGGACAATTTTAAGCTACGGTAAGAAGTCCACTTTTGGGATGGACCGTGTTCTACTTCTGATTTGCCGGTCTGCTGTTACTTAACCAGTTCGATTATTCGAACTCGAATGTTGGGGAAAATATTCACACTCGTCTATTAACTCTCAAGCAAAACGGAATGTCGCTGTTGTTGTTATTTTCGGAAGTTCGAGAATGACCACACTTGAAAAATAACCTTTTTCATAAAAAAACATTTTTTTCAATGGAGACTCAATTCAGTGATTTTGAAGGTTCCTTCCTTTTAACCAGCAATTTTGATAACTGGAAGTAGTTTTCTAATAATTTTCGGTTATTAACAAGCCTAATGAGAAGAAAATGTGTCCGGTTGCCGTTACATATCCTCTTATAAGACTAGTTTTACTACCCTTAGGCTTAGGCTTAGGCTTAAGGGGCCTAAGCCAAGGCCTAAGCCTAAGCCAAAATGAATATTCTTTACTTTTTATTTACTGCTCACTACATTTTTCATGGCGGGGTATTGTGCGAAACCAATCACAACGATGCTGGGGTATTCGCAAAACTATATTAGTTCCGTTGACGAGTGAATGTTATTGACACAGGTAGATAGAAAACTAGTTGAGAGAAACGCAGATCAAGAGCCTGCGTGGCGCAGCGTGTAAGGCGCGAACCCCCGGAAGAGGAAATCGAGGTTCGATCTGGTCGAGGTCGAAGAAATACGATTGTTTTTATATGCTTGTGGAAAATTGTTATCTAACGTATTTTTCACTGAATCGGAAATCAGTAAATTCTCTTTAAGGTATTTTCTTAACGTCGAAAGCTATGAAAAAGGTGGCCCGATTTTCTTCTACACGGGAAATGAAGGGAAACTGGAGGGCTTTGCGATGAACACGGTTTGTTCGGTGTTTAACTACTCAAGAAATAATGGCCAAGCCCTTGACCAATTGTTTCTACCGTTACCAGAAATTCTTCAAAGATTTCCTTATGAAGTTATCAGCACCCCGCGTTATCGCATAGCCAAGAAGAAAAGCTCACCATTGCTCAACATTGAATATCCATTTCGTAGATTGTTTTTTTAAATGCATTCTTCATCACTGCGAACACTATAAGTATTCCATGACCAGCTTTCTATTACCTTCGACATTGATGAATTACTCGCTATTTTATAGACAAATACATAACTAGATGAATATCGAGTTATTCAATGATAAGTATTACCCGTGTAGGCAGTGGTTAAAGGTGCCCTGCAAGACACCAACGAGCTTTAGGTCGTTAGCGCGCCTAGGGCTCCCCGGTTCCTCCTATGTGGGCAAATTACAACCAATCTAGGAGAATAGAAACACTGTGTTATATCAATACGCTTCTGTAAACAATTGTATATAGTATACATTCGTTTAATCACTTCTGCAATACTTAATATAGAACATTCTAGAAAAATTGCCCGTTTTTTCCTCAGAATTGCTTTTTCCGGCCTTATCGAAGCTTTATCCAGAAGCGTTCAATGTCACTGTCAGTTTTAGTTTTTCTAATTGGTGAATTTTTTTGTAGATTATCTACATCTTTCATATTCCTATCCAACCTTTCATCGATGCCTGTCCCTCTGCCACCATGAATGTTTTTTCTACTTTTTATTTCTTTTTTTTCTATCCATGGGGTGAAAGACGAAATTAGTGACGTGGAGTGAATTTTGTCCCATGAAAATTAACTCTAAGTGATGCATTGGGATTCTAACTTTCAAAGGAAGAGATCATTACACGTTATGTCAGTTCAAAACAACTCGCTGTTGTAATGAATTCGTACTGAGCGTGTAATGAAGCTTACGGTAATCAGCCAATGAACCAGTTAATAAGGATATTATCAACGTGAATGTAACACATTAGACAGAAATCCTGTTCACGCCAACAGCACTTATCGTAGACGTAATTTTTTGCTAGTTATTGAAAGTAAAGGCCACGTGTAGCTCACAGGTTAAAGGTGCCCAACAGCACACCTGGGTTGGATCCCGTCCCGAGGCTCGCCAGTCATTCCGTTCCTCTGGCGTCGGCAAATTGGTACCAGACATTTTTGGACTGATGACAGCACTGACTCGGTACATCGATAGGCCACCGCCGGCCAATGTATGGGCCAGATTTGCATTCATCCACTCACCTCTAACAATGCTTAATGAAGTCGCTGTGCTGAGAGCCTTTTTTATCCATTGTTGGTGGTATGGCTTTGGCTGCTTATAACATCCCCGAAAGATCGGTGGACTAGCCGCAGTATTTCTCCCGTGACAGGATTCGTTACCGTCCAATCCAAATCGTTACCAACAAACTTCGGTCTCTCCATATATCCACAGCTTGCTTAGTGATGACCTGAAAACGTTCTATCACGACTACCTTCGGTTTCCAAGGGAAATCACGTGAGAGCAGCATTAGTCATGGTGAGAGCATGAATTCTTACCTGAGTACTTGGTTGGCTATCTTCACTGGTTGTGTGGGCCCGGCATAATTTCCATTATTTCGGAGTTTCACCGATCTAGTCATTGTGATTCCCTGGAGTCTCGCGGTCAGCCTAGCTAAACTGTGCCCCAGGTCGTCACCATCATAGGGAGTTCCCGCCCTAGTGAATCAGAGGGAGATTTGCCACCATGCGACCAGTTTGATATCAGCACGGTGGTGGATTCTGCTGTTAGTTTACTCTTAACTGGGCTTCCCGATGGAAGCGTCGGACTCCTTCTCATTCTGGGTAGCCTTACTGAGGAGATGAATCCCTCTGCTGGTACCTCGCAGCTCCACACCCAAGAACACCTTCTAGCCACGATGAAGCGGTAAACCACTGGGAGGAAACTTTCTAATCAACTGATCAAGAATGACCTTCTTCGATTATTAAACAAACAGGAGATTGATAAAAAGATCTATTCGCCTAACGTTTCGCAGTCCTTATCTTCTTCAGAATCGGATTGAACGATAATCCACAGATGGTCGTCCTCGCGTTATGGCTTTCATTGTCGTATCGAGTCGAATCCAATGACGTGGGGCACCGATCGGGTAAAGAATTTCAGAAAAGTACCGATCAAAAATTATTTAGTTAACAAGTTCCAGTACCGGCTTTTTATTAGCCTCGGCAATGATCAGTAATTCACTGTTTTTAATACATGAGCGGATATGAGGTTGATATTACAGCATTGATATTACAGCATACCCTGCCATTAAGAAGAAAAAGGCAGTAAATGAAAGAGTTTAGATTGTGATTATAACGAGGCCTCAGCTTAACTGGGTTCAATGCCGATATTGGCTCCCCAGATCAATCCCGTTGACGGGTGATTGCTGATGGCAAAAAGATCGATAGAACTAGTTGAGATACATGCAAAGCGAAGGACGCGGATGGTGTAGTGGTGAAGTGCGCTGCTCCCCGGTAAGGACAACAGCGCGTGTTCGTTCCCCACTGCATACACCTGTGGTCCGGAGTTTTGCAGGTATATCAGCACTTCATACGAGTTATATTTCACAACATACCCTGCCATTAAGAAGAAAAAGGCAGTAAATGAAAGAGTTGAGATTACAGCATTTATTAGTATGCAATAGCTGATGTTCAGGCGGTTTCGTCTTCTTCAGAGCCTGGAAGGTTCAGATATGCAATCCACTCAGCCAAACACTTTCGCAACTTCAACAGATGAAACTTAATACATAAATTTGCATTCGCTTTACAAACATCTGCTTTGAAAGACCTGTCGTTCTGTTCGCTGTGAGTCTTTAACTTGTAAGTCTGTGTTCCAAGTCTGTGGTAATTATATAACTGTTCACAAAATTTTTCGTTTAATCCAAGTTGGTGAAAATGAACTGACCAGTCTGATAGAAGAATATTTATCGAGCATGTTTCCTTATTGTTCTTGTTTGCCCGCCGGACTTTTCTCTTGCTTGAATAGTGTCGGTGAAATGGAATTGAGCAGAAGTGCTCATGCTGAGATGTAAGCACCCTTAAATAGTGTTCATGGAATAAAAAGTGATGTGAAGGGTGCGATAACATGATAAGATAGGGAGTATTCCTTGCAAGGTATGGAACGATCACTATGAAGGACTTTGTTCGTATTTTTTTGAGCAAACGCGAGGTGTTATTGTTCTTTGTTCACAATTAAGCTGACGTTTCGGCGAATTTCGCCTTCTTCAGAGCCGCTTTCTTAGTGGAGACCTCATAGAAAGCGGCTCTGAAGAAGGCGAAAT